GTCCACGATCTCTGCACTAGGCACAGGAAAGTGGCCGTCTAGGGCAGGATAGCTGCCAGCCTGGCCACCCAGGAGCAGGTGTGCATGAAAATCAAGGGGGTCCACTGAGACCCCCGACCCTGAGCCCTGAGCTTACAATGGCCGTCCTGGGTCAGACCAAAGGTCCATCTAGCCCAGTAGCCTGTCTGCCAACAGCGGCCAACCCTAGGGACCCTGGAGGGGATGGACCGAAGACAGTGATCAAGCCATTTGTCTCGTGCCATCCCTCTCCAGCCTTCCACAAACTTTGGGCAGGGACACCACTCCTACCCTCTGGCTAATAGGACTCCATGGACCCAACCTCCATGACTTGATCTCACTTCCCTTTAAACTCTGTTCTAGTTGTAGCCTTCACAGCCTCCTGCAGCAAGGAGTTCCACAGGTTAACTATTTGCTTTGTCAAGAAGAACAACTTTCTCTTACTAGTTTCAAGCCTGCTACCCATTCCTTTCCTTTGGTGTCCTCTAGTCCTTCTTTATGGGAACTCAGGAAGAACTTTTCTGAATGCACCCTCTCCACCCAACCCCTGCTTTTAGAGACCTCTATCCTGTCCCCCCTCCGTCTCCTCTTTTCTAAGCTGAACAGTCCCAGTCTCTGTAGCCTCTCTTCATCTGGGACCTGTTCCCAACCCCTGATCATGTTAGTTGCCCTCCCCTCTCCCAGCCTTTCTCTTCCCCTCTCCCACCTCCTTTTCCCAGTCTCCCCCAGTTTTTTTCAATAAAGACAGAGTCAATGTTGGAAGAAACGTTATCTTTATTTTGTACATCAATAAGAAGGGGGGCTAGGGAAGGGTAAGTGGAAGGAGGTGAGGGAGGAATGGGGTATGAGCCCCCGATGGGGAGGACTGGGCTGGCTCTGCGGGCTTCTGGGGGTGGAAGCTCTCCTGCAGCCCCCCAATTACTCCCTCTCCCCAGATGGCAGCCTGCGGCAAGTGCAGCCGGGCTGATGGCCGAGTGGTGTGATGTGCCCAGTGTGGGCACTCAGGGCACTCCAAGCCAGAACTTCTTTGCAAGCGGGGCACCCCTTAGAACTGTGTGTCCGGGGTGGGGGTCGGGACCCTTTAAGCGCAGCCCTCGGCTAGCCTGAGACAGCATCTCCATGCTCTAAGTCCTCCTCTTATGCCCTGCCGGCACTGCTTCCGGCCATCCTTAAGCCCTGTTCAGAGTCCACTCAATGTGGACTTGCTAGTTCGAATTAGCAAAACGCTAATTCGAACTAGTTTTTAGTTCTAGACAAGTTAGTTCGAATTAGCTTAGTTCGAATTAACTAATTCGAACTAAGTTAGTTCGAACTAGCGCTGTAGTGTAGACGTACCCTGAGATTGCAGTGAAGACAGTTAACCTCATTAAGTCATGGGCTCTAAATTCGCATTTTTTTCTATCGCTATGCCGTGATATGGGATCTGAACATATTACTGTATTACTTCATTACAATATTTGATGGCTATCACATGGAAGATTGTGAAACCATGTACTTGAGCTAAAGGCTGAAGTTGCAGTTTTTCCTCGCAGAAATCAAATCCGAGTTAGTACAATATTTGCAAGGCAAATTATGGATTTTTGACATATTTGATAAAATCAATAATGAACCTACAGTTACAAGGTTTTAATACAAATATTTTAATCTTGCATGATAAAGTAAAAGCATTCAAGTAAAAAATAGCATTCTGGAAAAATAATGCTTTATCTGGAAATTTTGTGTCATTTCAATATCTTTCAGAATTTTGTGTGGAAAATGAAATTATTTTTGATGAACATGTCAAAACATCAAAAAAGGAACATCTGACGAATTTGGAATTAAATTTTGAATGATATTTTCCGAGCTTTGATGAAGCTGAACAGTGGCAGAAGCTTTGGGTTTTGAATCCATTGATGGCAATGCTATTGAGAAAGCAGGGATTTCAGAAGAAATGAAGGATCAACTTTTTGAGCTTTCTTCGGATAGTGTACTAAAGATGCAAGGCATGGGACTTGGTGACCTTGCCGTGCTCTGGCAGAAAATGAAAGGTGAATATAAACAACCGTGTAACATGGCTCTCACAGAACTCCTCCCATTCGCATCAACCTATTTATGTGAGGCAAGTTTTTTGGCTATGACTGAATTAAAAACTAAATTAAGAAATCATGTGTCTCCAGAAAATGATATAATTGTGGCCCTCAGCAGTTTGAAACCTAATTTTGAAAATTTAATTTCATTCAAACAAGTTCAAGTTTCACATTAAATTCATTATAATGTTTCTTGTAATGTTATTGATCACTGTTCATTGATGTTTGTATAAAAATATACACATGTGTGTATGTATATGTATTAATAAAAAAATTGAACTTTTTTTATGTTCATCTAATTTTTTTTATTTATCCTTTTTTCACAATCATAAGTACGATGGCAAGTTTATTGCCTATAAGAAATTTCTTCTAACTAACCAGTTACGATTAAGTTGTTTAAACAAATGTGTTGCAATGGTAGAAAAAATTTTGTGTGTCGGAAAATTGTAGGTACTGGGAGTACTTATAATTTTTTTAACGGAGTACTTTATAAAAAAGGTTGCAAAACATTGCTCTAGTTCAAGTTCAGCAAGGTCTTGATTTCAAGGAAAAAGAAAGAGGAACTAAAAACTCACAGTTTAGTTCCCCTCAGGACTTCATCACTGTACATATTAAGAGTCTTTGTGCATAGTGGTTCTGAAGTGAGAGATGGTAGTCTACGATGGGTTGGCATTTTCCTAGATGTCTGCTGTACCCGAGATGACGAGAGAATATTGTTATCGGTAATTCGCCCCCGCCGGTTCCGCACTGAATTGAGTACACTGGAGCCTATGCTATGTTGTTTGTCATCTTCTTCATTCCTAGAGAGAAAATTAAAACAAACACTGCTTTGAAGAATGTAATTGTTACATATACCAATTAAAACTAAGACATATCTATTATTGGCAGAAAGAAGTCAGCATATTCAATTAGATCTTTGAAAAGCATATTTAGATAGACATCTGTCAGGGATGGTGTAGATGGAGCTTGATCCTGCCTTGAGGGCGGGGGGCTGGACTCGATGACCTCTCGAGGTCCCTTCCAGTCCTATTATTCTATGATTCTATAAGGCCAAAATAATAAGGTACAGCATAAAAAAGTATACTAATACTTACTGTATCTTGTCTGCCAAGCTTGTATGCCTCTGTTGGAGTGGTTTAGCTTGAATTGTCATCACGCCATTTAAATCACTATAGAAATTGCTAGAGAAACGGTGAACCTAAAGACAGAGAAACAAAGCATTTAACTTTTCATTCTCATTACCTTTTCTGGACGGCGGCTCCAAAAAACTGAACCCCTAAATAGTTAGGTCAAAAGATGCTTAAAAAACAGTATGCAAAGAGAAATGCCACTTCAGATCATAATGAAACATTTCTCCCATATACAAGATAAAATGCAAACAAATAATAGTTAATGACTCTATAAAACAAAGCTTGAGAACTAAGACTAACAATACATATTACAAGAAACAATTATTTAATATGATCACTGCAAAGATAAGTAACATGTACCTCCATTATATATATTATAGGCAGATTTGGCAGCAATTACTATAATTAAAGTTGTTTTTCCATTCTATTGTAAATAACTGAAAACAGGGCCCTACCACTTTGTCTGAAGTTTTTTTTCTCAGCTTAGTTTTTATGAGGTGTCTACTTTATATGTTTACTTCATAGTTTTTATGAGGTGTATACCATGTATATAAATGGTTCAGCCGTTTCTGAGAATGAGGTTAGGGAAAATATGTTTTGTTAATGTTAAAAATTCTTACAACCACTTTACAGAGAAACTCTACCACCATCATTCTTTGGGTAGTGACTCAAGTATTTAGCAGAGGAGTTGCTGAGAGGGTCTGGAATGCTCCTATGAAAATCCATCCAAATTCGGGCACATTATAAACAACTGATTATTCTATTTGCAATTGCACAGAAAAGGTTTGGTAAAAAATGGCAGCTAAATTCTCAAAATATTCCATTTTCACAGGGCATACTCCTACTTAAGATTGCAAGGGCTGAAAAGGATTTTTTTTCTGGTGGATGGGGTTGGTTTTATTTTGTTTTGCAGTTACTCTTCCTGGCTGCTGGGCCACTAAAGGAACAAGCACCACAACTTAGACAGACTGTCTTTTCTGTGTTCTCAAAGCTACCTCTGCAGATGCCTCGGAATCAGGAAGGAAAAGAAGAAAGCTGACAAAATGCAGGGGCAGGAACATGCTGGATGGCAATAGGGATAAGCTAGGAGAAACAGAAGCATAGGAGACAGAGTCAGAAAGGTACAGACTAGAGCAGTGTCTCTCAAAGTGGTCCACAAAACCACTTTGAGAAATCTTTTAACTGGCCGCACCAGTGTATTTATTTAACAGTGCTGCAGCCACGGAGCCTCAGAGCTTCTATTGGCTCGTTTCACCATTTGCAGTCAAGGGAAACCGTGGGAACAGCAGGCTGGCCTATGCCACTTCCCGCGGCTTCCTTTGCTGCAAATGGCGAAACAGAGCCATAGGAGCCATGAGGCTCCCTGGCAGAGGCGCCAGTAAATAAACAAACCAGCATGGCCAGTTTACAGGTTTTTCAAAGTGGTTTCGCACACCACTTTCAGAAACACTGGACTAGAGGAAAGAAGAAGAAGCATATGTACTTGCAAGAGCATGTTCATCTCCAGAAACTCAAAAAGAACCCAGGATTCCCAAGGTCCAACATTCAGGCAGAAATACTGAACAAGTCTCCTTTGTCCACCAATCCATAATGCCCTGGGGAATGGAGGGGAGGGAAGGGCAGAGAAAGGAGAGGCACAACTAAGACAATCTGACGTTACAGGTTTTTGAACAAGTGACGTTACACTAGAACATCACACGCAGCTTGCAGGGAAGTTCTTTTGTAGTTCTACTGAAATGAAAGAGTTGCCCCTCAATATAAAAGGTATGATTTCTATGAAAGAATAGAGAGTACTGCTATCTGGTTTTATAGCATCTACCACAATGAGGCTAACTGGGGTCTTCAGGCACTAACGAGTCCAAATAAAAAAATTATAACAATGATGTGGGGGAGGGGAGCGTTAAAATATACTCAAAAGGTGACAAGTCAAACTAAATACCTTAGACACATATAATCAATAAAATGGAAACTTTTCTGATCTAAGCTAGAATAGGCCTAGGCCAAGTGAAAACAAAATTCTGTTTTGTGGAACAATATTTTACCTGAGCTGGAACAAAATGTGAACCAAAAGATGTGCTTCGTGACTCAGAGCCTCTTGAGGGGGGGACACTTGCTGTATCTGCTGTAATACGGGAGATCAGTAGATGTGGCAATTTACTTGTAATAGCTTTCAATTTCTCCACCTGCTTATCATTCTCTGCACCAGTGTAGAATATTCAAGTAAATAAGAAACAAAATTTTATGCTGTTATACAAATTGATAATGGTAGGTAAATCTCAGTGACTCAGATTTGACATTATCTGCTAGATAAACAGTGTTCAACATTTATAATAATATTATGACATTCTGCCTTAGATTAGTTTTAATTTAAGTCTTCATGATGTTTAAACATAATCTAGATGTCAGATTAAAAGCATTTATTTCTAAAAAAAATATTTTCAAAATGACTATACTTTTTCTGACAATGTTAAATCAGTTAGGCCATGTATGTGGAAGAGAGGCAATTTGCCTTTTTTTGGAAAACACTGGTAAAACAGCTGGATTGTTATTGAAATATGCCCATGTAAGGTGTGTTAGAAACAGAAAAATGTATGAACAGAAGCAACCAAATGTCCTCTTAGCCCATTCCATCCTAGCAAAATCTATATTGCTACTTTTCCAGATGGTATAATCCATTATGTTATTTCTATCATACCATTAAATTTCTTAACAGTTCTAGCCCACATATTTAGCTTAGTAGCCTATTTTCTTACAGGAAAAGGTAGCAAACTTGGTAGCAAACATAAACCTCCTTCTTTAGCTTATGAAGGAAACCCCATGTACACACTAGAGGACAAAATTTCACCACAAATTAGTTCTTTGCCTTCTGCTTCTCTATGCATAGACGGTTAAAACACTAGGAAGAGTTAAATGTAATCATAGTGAACTATGCTCTTTCATCCTGTGCTAATCTGAACATACCAAACAGCATGGCTCTCTCTCCCTCTAGTGGCTGAACTATACAGAATTTGAGCAATACAGTGGTTTGCTAACAGACTTGGGTCTTTTAATTTAAATATTAGAGGCTAATGCTTTTAGATACTCAAATTAAATCCCTACTGCTGAAGGCTTTCCAAAGGGCATCATGTTACATATTGAACCAGTGATCTATTTCTGCCACTTGCACTGAGGGCACTTCTTGTGAGTGCGCTCCTCTCTTAGTAGTAGAAATGTAGCTGTGTTAGTCTGGTGCAGCTGAAACAAAAACCAGGACTGTGTAGCACTTTAAAGACTAACAAGATGGTTTAATAGCTTTCATGGGCCAGACCCACTTCCTCAGATCAAATAGTGGAAGAAAATTGTCACAACCATATATACCAAGGGATACAATTAAAAAAAATGAACACATATGAAAAAGACAAATCAAATTTCAGAACAGAAGGGGGATGGAGGCGGGAAGGGGGGCAGGTAAATGTCTGTGAGCTAATGATATTAGAGGTGATAATTGGGGAAGCTATCTTTGTAATGGGTAAGATAATTAGCGTCTTTATTCAAATTTGAGTGTAAAGTGTCAAATTTAAGCATGAATGTCAATTCAGAGGAGTCTCTTTCAAGTGAAGTCTTAAAAGGTCTTTGAAGCAGGATGCAGGTAATCAAGTCGTTGAGACAACGTCCTTTCTGGTTGAAATGGCAAGAAACTGTTTTTTCTTTGTGATCCTGTCTGTTATCTGTTTTGTGGGCATTGATCCTTTGGCGAAGTGTCTGAGACGTTTGTCCAATGTACATAGCGGACGGACACTTTCGGCACATGATTGCATAAATTATATTTCTGGATGCGCAGGAATACGTGTTCTTGATCTTATAACTCACTTGGTTGGGTCCAACTTGTTAGTCTTTAAAGTGCTACACAGTCCTGGTTTTTGTTTCAGCTGCACCAGACTAAGTGGCGACAAAGCCATGTAGATTAGTTTACGAGAAATACCCAAATGAAGCAGCAATTTAAAGAATCACCGCTTCATTTAAATTAAAATGGCTTCCACACTGTGCTGATCAGCTGTTTGGCGACACAACGCTGTACTCTGGATGCTCCGCGGTCGACATCAAAGGCATTTGTCGACTTCCCCAGTATGCCTTGTGCGATGAGGTTTACCAGGGAGGTCAACAAATGCCTCTGATGTCGACCACGGAGCGTCCAGATTACAGCGCTGTGCTGCCAAACAGCTGATCGGCACAGCACAGCAGCCATTTTCATTTAAATGAAGCAGCGATTCTTTAAATCGCTGCTTCATTTGGGTATGTCTAATAAACTAATCTACCTGGCTCTGGCGACAGAGCCATGTAGTCTAGACATACCCTTAGTGGACCTGATTCAAAGCCAACTTAATTCAATATGAATCTTTCCATTTGCATTTTATAAAGTTCCACGCAAAACACACGGGCTGTGTCTACATTGGCACCCTTTTCCGGAAAAGGGATGCTAATGAGACCAGTCGGAATTGCAAATGCCCCGGGGATTTAAATTTTTCCCGCGGCATTTGCATGAAGATCCCTTATTCCTGATTTTAAGTAGGAATAAGGGATCTTGCGGAAAAGGGTTTATTTTCCGCAAGATCCCTGTCTAGACTGGTGCTTTTTTCCGGCAAAGCCCCGAGCCGGAAAAAAGCGGCAGCTATGTTCATGCAAATGCCGCGGGGAAAATTTAAATCCCCGGGGCATTTGCAATTCCGACTGGTCTCATTAGCATCCCTTTTCCGGAAAAGTGTGCCAATGAAGACACAGCCACGGATATTTACTGATAATAATAAGTTTCTTAAGCCATATTTAATTAATACAAAATTACTGTTTCAAGTACAATTCTATAAGTGCCATCTATAAAAACTCCAAGTACCTGTGATAGCAGTTTCCCAATTTTTTCTAATCAGCTCCTCCAATATTTCAACTATATTCCTCCAGACACAATCAAATATTTCAGCAGCCACTGTGTCTTTGATACAGGCATTGGGAGAAACAGGAGGAATGCCACCTTTATTCCTCCTTCGAGCAAGCTGGCCTTTCTTTTGTTCCAAACTCTCATCATCACTAATGATTGAAGCAAACTGAGTTTTATTATCAAGTTCTACCTGTTTTTGTTAACACAAACACTGAATCTAACATATTTCCTTATGGATATAGAAAAGCATGAAATAAATTTATAATTAAAACTGCAAAATTTCTTTTTATTCATGACCCAAGTCCTGTGGGAAGAAAACAACCACTCGAAATTGAAATTATGAATTGGTTTACTTTGTTTTGTTGCCTCTTGCTGGTTAAATGGCACTTCTATTATCGTGGTAGCAGCATGAAAAAGCATACTGGGGCTTATTGCTTTATCTTGTCAACTACACGCATTTCCCTCCCCTTTGCTGCCTCTGTATCAGAGACAGTGGGTGGTGGGAGAACTGGAGCTTGTGCCCATGAGGAATTAGCTTAAAAGATGGCTCCCCATGATGCCTGCCCCCAATCTCTAATAGAGAGGGAGCAGCGCACAAGGTGAAGGGGGTAGGCTGGAACCAATACACGCAGGGAGTCGGCTTTCAAGCCATCTCCGCAGACCTTCCTATCCCTGCCTTGGTGCCTCCTATAAGAGACAGCAGTGCTGGGGATGGGGGAATGGGAGACTGATACACAGGAAGCAGTGTGGCGTGGCTGCAGCCCCTGTCCGCAGTGACCCTGGGCTCCCCATGGACAGGGGCTGCTGCCATCCCACACTGCTGTCTCTGTATCAAAGGCAGCAGCGCAGGGTGGCAGGCAGCTGGTCTAAGAGGGGAGCTGCTGGTTTTTAAATTGGCTCCCCTTGCAGATTGGCTCCACCTGCCACCCCATAGTGACACAGAGGCAACAGCATGGGATAGCAGGGGGCTCTCTGGGAGTGCCCCCACAGACTATCAAATAATGATATAACCAACAATATTTTGTGTGGTTACACAACTATTCAATTACCTGATATCTAACATCCCTAATTTTCACCCCACTTTATTTCCCTCTTTTCCTGTCTGGACTGGGGAACAGGTGCAATATAGAACTTTAACTCACTGCCTCATGATACATGTAGCACGAAAAGAGCTTTCCGGAACCAAATTTTATTCTATGCTTGTTCTTACATTAACGGTGTCATATTACAATTTAAAAATGGGGAAAAAATTATACTAAAAACAATCTCGATAATCTTGATTCAGAAAGGCCCCATCCTGGGCTGCATTCTACATGGAATGTTGGAAAGTTACTTCTAAGATGGTGTAGCTAGCCGCAGAAGGATCAGTCATTCAGTAATAGGAGATCCTCTCTTGTGGAGTGAGCTTAATGATTTCTTTCCCTTCCCCATCCTG